GTGGGATCCAGTTTGACGCGCGTTTCGTTCTATATCATGGCAATCCGCACAGGATATACATATGCCAATAAGAGACTGATCAATTATAGTCCTAAATAACAATGAGAAGATACGAGTAAAAAAATACAAAGTGAATTTAACTTATACATTAATCTCACAGATTGAAATCATGAGTCAGTTGAAGCTAGACCACCATTGAAAACCTGGAAGCACTGGACGGCGGTTCCGCCCTAGTATGGGACTCCTCAGCAGTGCGCATCCACGATCCCGTACCACGTGGGGCTCGAACCCAGGACCTACTGGCTTCGCGCGCGAGCACTTAACCATTAGACCACTGAGCCGGAATCCAACGGTGTTAATGTCTAACTTTAACCAATCCACGAAGTTGCGCCACCGTACACCATTGTCTTCAGTGAGTTCCTATCTCACAACAGACCTGGTTGAACTCCGAAGTTCTAGTGAGAAGCCGTTACCAGTGGAGTTCAACCAGGTCTGTTGTGAGATAGGAACTCACTGAAGACAATGGTGAATGTGTCGCCCAATTTCGTGGATTAGTTGAAGTTAGACATTAACACCGTTGGATGCCGGCACAGTGGTCTAGTGGTTAAGTGCTCGCGCGCGAAACCAGTAGGTCCTGGGTTCGAATCTCGCAGGGGTCGAGATCATGGATGCGCACTGCTGAGGAGTCCCACAGTAGGACGAAACGGCCGTCCAGTGCTTCCAGGTTTTCAATGGTGGTCTAGCTTCAACTGACTCATGATTTCAATCTGTGAAATTTCTAAAATCTCCACAAAACCCATTCTGATAATTATACATTAATCATTGGTCATTGTATTCTATAACAGTTTTTAATTTCACCTCATTGTAATTTTATTTCTAAAATTAATGCAACTCTATAATCCATTGTTAATACAAAAATGGATAATTCGCATAGAGCAATAGAATCCACGTTTTAAAGTAAATAGAAGAACTTAAGGAAAGAGATTATATGATTTTTGTCAATATTTGTTATCTATAATGACAGTAATTATTGATCATAGCTTACATTTTCATTTTACATATTTCGGAGAAAAATACCTAACTAGAATCGTAACGAAAGAGTACTATTGTGGTGTGTGCTACTGATGTCGATAAATATGAGCGGTATGTATCATAAATCGAAAGCGAAATGACTGGAGGCAAAAGGTTAAGAAGATCGAAGAATAAAGAATGATTGGTGTGAATACAAAAAAACAATGAAGTCTAAGACAACTGATTGACATTTTGCGAATGAAGTATTTACTGTATGGTTCTCAGATTTTGCTAACATGTTTTGTAATTTTGTTTTCAAATACATTTGATTGTCCTCGATGGTGTTCTTGTTGAGATAAAATGGTGGTTGGAGGTAGCCAACAGGAAACTTGAACCTGGGTTTCGTGCTACTTGGCCTTCGTCAGCAAAGTGTATCTGTAATCTTGAGGGAACCGATGCTCCTTATCACCCAGCTTCACAGTCAGAGACGTTACCACTGAGCTATCTCAACATAGTGCACGCAATCTTGAGTCATCTAGACTAGTGACCACATTTCAACTTGGTCGATAGGATTCGATTTGCACTAAGAAGGATCTGACATACATGACGTTGATCATCATCCAGTTATCAATCAATTGAACATATTACAAACATCTATTTATAGACGAAAATGATGAGAAATCTGCAATTCTATGTACTTTAAACAGAACAACTATAGGTGGATGCATTTTCCATCAAAAACGCATGCACAAAACTACATGGGTATCACTGGATTACACTAAAGAAAACCAGATTGATTATATTTGAATAAAGCAAGAACAAATATTGGTGCAGAATAGTATGAATTCATAATATTTTGAGGTTTCTCGTAAGCTACTGACAACCAAAAATGTGATAGAATTTTTACATTGAGATAATGTAACATAAATGAGTGTAAAATAACTGGATTACAATAATAACTATATATATATGCTAGAACAGGTCAGAGGTTAAAAATGGGAATTAATTCAGGGTGGGTGGTGTAATAGTTTAGTGAAGTTCATAAATTGTGTGATAATTTTAGAGATTAGTGGAAATGAATAATGATAAGATGGGTTATGTAATAATAATGGATGCCGGCTCAGTGGTCTAGTGGTTAAGTGCTCGGGCGCGAAACCAGTAGGTCCTGGGTTCGAAACTCGCAGGGGGCGAGGTCGTGGATGCGCACTGCTGAGGAGTCCCACAATAAGACGAAACGGCCGTCCAGTGCTTCCAGGTTTTCCATGGTGATCTAGCTTCAACTGAATCATGATCTTAACCATTGAAATTAAATAGAATTTGAAAAGTTAACATAATTTAAGAGGATCAGGTGGTGGAAATATGTGAGTAAAATTTTGGTTTAAGAATTAGGTAATGGGGGAGGAGTATACATATTTTAAAATAAATAAATGAATAAAATAACCAACTTGTTCATCATATTCTGTGCTTCCCGTCAGATGTTCAGGTCAGCGACACTCTGTTGGAAACCTTTCCTGGTACTGACAATGGTGTGATGACACTGTAGATGAGTTTTCACACTTGCTCAGATTTCCTTTCTTTGATATCTTGATTGGATCTCTTTTTTTCTAGTCTGTCGGTGGCACTTGTTCTTCCTCCCAAATCTTCCTGAATAGAGTGTGAACCATTTTTGCAGTTACTTCTATGTGTGGCTTCAGTGCCTCAGCTGGTATATTGTCAGGTGCTGCCGCTTTGCCATTCTTGATTTTTCTGATGACAACCCTGATTCTTCGATCGTTCATGAAGTGACTTCTATAGGAAAATGCGTGTGTGCTACTTCGATATCCGGTGGAATCAATGGCGCTGACCTATTCAAGAATTCCTTAAATCGTTCAGCTCATCTGTTTCTCTGTTCTTGAATTTCATCGAATGGCTTGCCTTTGTCCTTGATCAGTCTCCCAGGTTTACTATATCTCCCTATCAGTTTCTTCTTAGTGTCATATGGTTGTTTCATATTTCCATCTCTTGCAGCTTTTTCCACTGTCGTTGCTAGCACTTCCACGTATTTCTGCTTGTCGGCATTAATGCTCTTCTTTACTTGCTTGTTTGCTTCTGTGTATTCAGCGTGCAAATTCACTTTCCCTGTTCTTGTTTGGAAGTTGTTACTTGCTGTCTTTTTATTCTTCCTGTCTTGAGAGATATCTTGAATTCGTTGGGTTTGTCAATATCTCGAAGGAATGTTGTATTGAAACGTTGTAATGCTGTTTACCCAGATGTCCAGTATTTCTTTCGTTTCAGTTTTATCTTGGCAACCACCGGTTGGCGGCGATCTAAGGCTATATCGGCTCCTCTCCTGGTTCTCACGTCTTCCATTGACCTGAAATTTTTGCTAACGCTAATATGACTGGTCTGGTTCCGTTTAGTGTGATCCGGTGAGACCCATTTAGCTTTGCGTGTGCGTTTGTGTGGGAATATTGTGCCGGCTATAATCATTTTATACACATAGTTCCCTTTATTATTTTAAAGAGAGCTCTCTTTAAAACATAATCATTTTGTTGGATGCACATCAATGTGCAAATCTGTCACCATTCTCGTTCCTTCGTCCCAGCCAGTCCATATCGACCCATGCAAGAACAATTAAGTGTGGGTCATTTTGAGACAACTGATGAACATTTTGCAAATTAAGCATTTACTTTACGATTGTTAGATTTTACTAACAAGTCCTGTAATTTCGTGTTGGATACATTCTCTTGTCCCCCCTGGTGTTCTTGCTCACGGCAGCATCACAGCAACTCCAAGAATGTGTGTGGGGCTTTTTTTCGTGATGGGAGTTGCTAGGTTTGAAGCGGTTACGGGTTCACTTAGTCTGCGAACGGAACAAAGACTTGTAACCAAAGACCAATAAACTATGTATTCTATTCCGTCTCAGCCCCGCTAACTAGAAAGAGAAGGCCGGAGAAGTATATTCCGCAAAGAGCCAGAAGCACGAGCGATAACAACAGACACAGATCATAACGTATATATACAGCACAAAACCGCCCATGGGAAGCGTTGCAAAATAGCATACTAAAAGACACAACGGACCAGTAGCGTTTAAGATTCTCCCAAGTGGAAAATACGACATGAAGGTGAAAAGAGCACCTTTGGCGCGAAAACAGAGAAATTCAAATTTTCTAAATAAAATTACAAAATTGAGTCCTATCTCGAGTGAGTTCTGGGGATCTAACGTCCCCTAGAGTGTACAGCAACATCTCTTTCGAATCTATTCTTTTCTGTCTGGATTGGGTGTAATGTGTTTCACTGATTATGAGAACCGACAAGTTGTATGTCCTCATTTCCATTGTTAATTGACTAGTCCTGCCGGTTTCACACTTTTTTCGGACATCCCAATAACCTATATTAATTGTTAATCTGGTGGTTAGAAGAGGCATCGCCCTTGTGATTTCCGAAAAATCTCGGCATCCACCATGAGGCGTCATAATTTTCCTGAACAAAGATGCTTCAACTAAAAGGACAGAGTTTAAATGGTTCAAACTATTTATTCTGGTTATCATTTTTTAGCAAGTTTGTTTTCTACAGGATGATGATTCTGACCTCACACCCAACCCTCCTCCTTTACCCGGACCTGTGACCGGAGACACAAACTTGTATACACAAAATAAATAAAAATTACTCAAGTTTCCTAATCAATTATTCAAAAAATGTTGTTAAGTAACGATTAAGGTGAATTGTTCAATTATATAAGTAAGTGATGCAAAACAGTTTACAAAAACATTACTTTTCGATGAGAATTTGTAGGTCACAAGGTGAAGTTCGTTATGTAATTTTTTAAAAATATTTCTTTAGTTGTACTAGGTAATATTATCTCTCTGTCCATCTTAGATTTACTATGCGTGATTTCATCTAAACTTGTAAAGAATTTAATTAAAAGTGACAAATTTACAGCTGTTATTGAGTAACCGTTGACACCAATTCTTATATTCAGAGTTGAAATTTTCTGTATAAGTATACTAATGATTTCTTTACAAGGAATGAAAAATATGAATGAATATTTAATTATGATAAAACAACATTTCATGTATAATACCATAAACATTTTAAATCTATCATTAATTAAAAATGGTGGGTTGATTCAATTTCCATTGATTATTCATCCAAACCGAAATGATGGTTTACAAATTTCAATTGATCAAACACAACAACCATTCGATTCACAGATATATAATCAACCAGGATCACCTAGTCAGTCACGAAATAGCGTTGGTCATTCAATACCTGATAATCATCAACAACAACAATCAACAGAACTACATCAAGAATCTCAGAATAGTGAAATACAACGAACACAAGAAATCCAGAATGAAGCCAATTCTCAACAACTCGATTCATCGCTACAGTCGGATCAGTCACAATCTAATGTTGATGGTTTGCTATTGGTACAACCACCATTATCTGAACAGTTTCGAGTATTACAGAATGGTCAAAATCAATCATCACAACAGTTACAGCCTGAAATTTACTTTGTGGTAGCTTAGGTTCCTTAATCAATCACCTTGATAACCGTTATTATATAAGTCTCAACGGTGTTTGAATTCTATAGGCAATAAGAAACAGCAACTACAGTTTATTAGCGGATAGCGCGAATATCAAATCTACAAGTGGATCCAGCGACTTTGGAACAGATAGGCCAATATGTGCGAGCGAGCAAATACAGAGGCAAATTTATAATCCAATCGAATAAAGCCTAACTAGGCAAGCAAAAGCTAGTAACAGGATTCGAACATATATATATATATATATATATATATATATATATATATATATATATATATATTGAAAAGAGAATGATCAATCGAGTAATATTTAAGCGATCAAAATTTAAGCTAGAGAGAGATAAGAGTAGGCTCTCATGTGATCAGTCAATTGCTACATTCACTGTGATTGCGATTTTCAGGCTGTATATGGTTCGCGCAAGACATGATAAATTGTTATTTACAATCATTCAATCTATTTACATGTCCAACATAGTTCATTTTCAGTGACGTTCGTTGACTGAAGTGTGATTAAGTATCAGTTGTGCTAATTAAAAACATAACATACGCAACTTAGTGCACAGTCTTTTGACTAATCACAATAAATAAACGAAATATACTCGTTAAGACATAATATTAGGAAGATTGCTTCAAAGAAGATTTATCTTTTCAAGAGATTTATCTTCAAAGCTGTTTAGTCGCAAATATGTAGAATAAACAATGGCATTAAAACGTTATTTTTATCAGGGTGTAGTGTGGAATTCAGTCGCGGTTGACTAGGATCATCACTACAGGAAGACTACGCGCCCGTCAACAGATAAGATCTCCTGTAAAATGTGATCGATAAACGAACCCACCAGTAATAAAGGGAAACGCCCACCACCACATTAACTCCTTTTGATCTTGTACGACTGTATCTCTTTATTAACCAATCACAGTTTAATGTTCATTGTAAAACAATATTTGCTTGTTGACTCATTTTTCCTATTCTCTGGCTACTGTTCGGTATGTTATTTGTCTGCTTTTTCCCTGTATTAATAGATCGTACAGTTTGTTTGTACACTGACGATGTTAATTTATGTTTTAGAAACAGATAAAGTTTATCTAGCCAAATAGCTTGTTTGTTCTGACTTTGGCCAAACCAAGACTCTGTATTCGACGGTCTAGAGAATAGCTCAGAATTAAACCTGTAGGAAATTGCTCCCTACAAAGTTTCGAACAGTATCTCATCGAAGTTTCGTACATTGGGTACCTTTAGATGTCTATGGAGAGTCATAAAACTGATCATATTTCTGAACTGTCTCCTCATTATTCAGAAACCCATAGTGATGACCAGCTCGGAGGAAATACCTACCGAATGGATCCCTTGTTAGAGTTAGAATTAGCTAAAGTACGTTTAGCTCAGACAGAAAAAGAAATCGAGCTAGAACGGTTACACCAAAAAGGAAGAGAACATTATAATCAAGTTATGGTTGACAAGGCGATGACGTATGAGTCTACATCTGTCTCACATGTCGTTGATGTTCCTCCTAGGAAAGACTGGGTAACTATGATGTCTAGAGCTTTAGACCTACCAGAGAAAGAGATTATAAGGTTTGATGGTAACCCTATGAACTATTGGAGCTTCATACAGAATTTTGAAAACTGTTTTGACGAGAGCATTGGGTTCCGATCTCGGTTAAACTATTTGATCCAGTACTGTGATGGTAAAGCTAAAAACACTATTGTTCATTGCGCATTGCTCGAGCCAGAAGAAGGCTATCGTAAAGCACTAGAACTTCTCGAGGAAGCATTTGGTCAGAAGCATATAGTAGCCCATGCATTTATTGATGAGATGCTGAACATCCCTGCCATTAAAGGGACCGATCCATATAATTTAAGAAGGTTGTCTCGTGAGATGCATATTTGTGAGCTAACACTCACGTAGATGAACTATGTATCTGATCTTAATTCTACAAGGACTATCGAATGCATGTTTTTAAAACTCCTGTTACACCTGCAAAGAGAATGGGTTAAAGTTGCGTGTAGAATTCTTAAGACAGGTAGAGAACCTTCATTCAAGGACCTATGCGAATTTGTGAAAGAGCAATCGGACATTACTAATACTAGGTGCGGCTTACTTTCAACCGCGGTAGTAATAGTGGCAATAAAGATGTTGGTGTTTTAAAAAGGAAAATTAGTACAGATTACAATGCAGCAAGAATATCTTATGCGAGTGCTAGTGATGATAATGCTCTCTTACGCAGTTCATCTTGTTTGGAGTGCTCCAGTAGTCATTCTTTAGATCAATGTCAGAAATTTAAAGACAAGAATGTTAGGGAAAGGAAGGAATTCGTTCTTAGACACAAGTTGTGTAATGTATGCCTGAAGGCGAACCACGTAGCAAACTGTCGATTGCCGAGGTCGTGTGTTGTCGAAGGGTGTGGCTGGAGACACCATACCCTGTTACACGAGTTGCAGGAAGAACCAAGGAATACTAATATTGATGCACACATTAACACCCAGCTATGTACGGAGAAAAGTGTTGAGCGTGTACAAAAACAAGCAGCATTCGCAATAGTGCCTGTACTGGTAAGAAATGGAGAAAAAATAGCACGGACTTGCGCCTTCTTAGATAGTGGGTCGGATGCCTCACTTATTACAGAAGTGTGGTGTTTGAATTAACTAATGATTCTTTTGTACTTGTTGAATGCTCGATTTCGAATTCTAAATACAGTACATTCGTTGTGCCTGTGTCTTCTTAATTCAATTGCGTTAATCCTGGAATTCCTAATTCATACGACAATTAGAATACCATATTGGCGTCGCGATGGAGCCTGCAATGGAAAAGTTAGATATTCATTCAACTTCAGAAGCTTTTGAAGATTACTTTGAAAGGTTCGAAATCTGGGCTATGACCAAGGAAGATGATGAGGATGTTAATATTGTGGCACACTTCCTCACATTCATTGGAAAAGAAGCATACAGCTTATTAAGAACTCTGGCTATGCCGGAAAAACCCATTTCGCTTTCTTATACAGCTCTCAAGGATCTACTGCTAGACTATGCTCAGTATACAAATTTCAAATGTCGTAAAGGAGGAAGATTTCGTAAAATGATTCATGAGGATATAAAAAAGTCCACTACATTACTACGTCATCTCAACCTAGTGCATACTCAAGGTTATGCAGACAATTCATTGAATTTGGATGCAGTTCACGAGGATGGGGACACGTTTGGTCAGTGTTTGTCCTGTTGCAAGTTCCACTCTTCTAATTCATGTAAATTTCATAATTCTAAATGCTTCAAATGTCGTGATATTGGACAAGTTCAGTTAGTTTGTAATGCTAATGTTCATCTTACTGCAACTAATACTAAGTCTTGTAATTCTGATTCTACTGAGTCGAGTATTCATGACGATCATTTATCTTTATCAAAGATTTCAAAAGACAGTGCAGAGTCATATGGCAGTTCAGAGTTTAATGAAATCCAGAATTCTTGTGAGACAACAGTTCCTAATCAACCGATTTATCAGAATTCTCATGCTATTGTACCAAGTATGACTTTTCCTAATGATTCACATATTTCTAATGAAATTACTTGCAATTCTGAGGAAAACCTGATGTGGTTTGGATAGATGCTGATTTTTCTAACGATCCTACGCTCTGCAATGACAGTCTTGATGAATTTCATGCGAATATTTCAGAAGAATCAAATCCTGATGTCATATCATATATTACCTATCCTCATAATGTATTTGATCTTCGTGAAAAACCTGCCCAATGCGAAGTCACCTCGAGTTTTATTATATTTCGGATGATTTCATATCAACTGCTGTTTACTCTTATCACAAAAACAGTTCTAATGTTTACTCTAAACAATGTGAGATATATGTTTTAAATGAAGCCACATTATTCATAACTTGGGGGTATAAAGATTCAACATTATTTCGTGGGGGGGGGCGATTGTGCTGAAAAATCTATGGTTCGAATTCTAGATATTATTGATTTCATTACAAAACCGACATGCTGGTTGTATACAATTCCAGGTGAGTCTGTTCCTATTTCGTTTGTTAATTCCAATACTAATGAGCACTTTCTAGATACTACAAAGTTTTTATCTTATACAATGTCGGACAGACTCAGGATGAACTTAACAAGAAGACGTACAACCGATTACAAACACTTATACTTCTATTTAAGCTGTGGCGGATGTGGTGTTTGAATTAACTAATGATTCTTTTGTACTTGTTGAATGCTCGATTTCGAATTCTAAATACAGTACATTCGTTGTGCCTGTGTCTTCTTAATTCAATTGCGTTAATCCTGGAATTCCTAATTCATACGACAGTTAGAATACCATAAGAAGATCTAGCTAAAAGGTTGAATTTAGAAAGAGAGCCCAAGACGACTTCGTTGAAAACGTTAGATAACCATTCCACAATTCAGTGTAAAGAGGTTCAATTAGAGGTTTCCTCCTTAGACTCGTCTTCGTCATTTAGAATCCCAAACGTATGGACAGTCGAGAGATTACCTATGTTGCGCAGGACGGTATCAACGACGCCTCAAATGAAATCCTGGACCCATTTAAACGACATAAGTTTTCCTAGAGTAGAGGATGAGAATGTCAAGCTGTTGATCGGGTGCAACGCACCGAGTGTACACGAAATGAAAGAAATAAGAACTGGAAAGCCGAACGAACCATTCGCCGTGAAGACTCTGTTAGGTTGGACGCTGTTTGGTTCCTATAGGGAACCTTGTAAAAGCAATCGTGCACTCAACCACCTCTCAGCTAAAGAAGAATTAGAGGATAAGTTTGAACAATCGTATTCAGCTAAATTCAAAGACCTACTAGGTCGTACTTCATCGATGTCTGTAGAAGATCCTATAGCACTCAGTGCTATATCAAATTCAGTACAAAGGTTAAACGGGCACTATCAAATAGCTCTACCTTGGAGGCACAACCACAAGTTACCTAATAACAGAGGATTAGCAGAACGTAGACGTAGCTGTTTGAAAGGTCGA